AAATCTGGTATGGAAATGAGCTGAAATTAGATTCAGATGGAATTTGGGGAACCTGTTAAAGCTGAAATCTAGGGTTCTCAAATTTCCACCCACTTCACCTGACACTCAATATTGGATTGCAGATCAATGCTGAAGCTTTTAGGCAAGTGCTGAAAGTTCTGGGAGTGCCCAGTGGAGAAAAACCAAGTCATAGCAAAAGCATGAAAGGAAACCAATGATATGGATGGTAATAGGAGCCAAGTGAAAGCAAAAAGGATGGAGAAGGTGTGGTAGCTGACCAACATGCTTAGTTTATCGGTGGATAAACCAGATTGATATTGCTAATGAAAGTCTATATATCCTTCTAGGTATGGTACTTCTTTCTTGATAGGGCTGTATTCCCTCTTCATTTCATGTGGATAATTACAAAGAAGAACACGATGATAAAAATAACATGAATAGAATGAAGAAGCAGATGGGTTGAAACCAAGCATAGTTATACTTAGGGTAGATCTGGTGTCCCTTGAAATAAATGTAAATACCTTTATACAATCCTATGAAAAAAAACAATGACTAAGTCTGGATTAATGGGAATCTATGAAGATTAATGGCAGAGAACTTCCCGTTGCATCTGTTCGATGGAGATTTCTTGGTCTTGTATGTGGCATGCTGTTCCATATTAGTCTTTATTTTCTCTCCTTAGATTTAAGGTTGGATTGAGTTGGTTTTTGTTTTTTGTTTTTTTGCCTTGTATATCACACAGCAATGTGGATAAACTGGCTAATCATTAAAATATACCTAATAGGTATGTTGCTTCTTGATTTCCCTTGTAGCTTCTGAATATGTATGAACATAATAGTAGAAATACTGCACTGTTTTAGTGCATCCTCTAAAATCCACACCCTCCCCCTTTTCTGCAAGTCCTTTCAATTTGTTTCATGCCTGATGTTTCACCAACAGCACCAGGGCATACCATCCAGGGTTCATTTATGCAGGCCAGATGTGCCACCTTATCTACTTTTAATTCATGCATGGTTTTACCAATTGAACTGAAAAGGAGAAAAAAATTATCCCTGTTTGAATTCTTGTCTCGCCCAACACCCACCCCACTCAACCCCAGATTGAATGTCCCTCATGATTTACTGTTTTACTTCCTTTCCCGTAGCTCGCATATAGCTCTGCCCTGGGAATGGATTCCAAATCCCAAGCTGTCTTCTTCCATTGGATGTTCCCCAATGGCGACTATCAATATAGAGGGATTATCCAGCTTCTGCTGCATTTCATGTGGACATGGATTGGGCTGATTTACCTTACTACTGGAAATGTAACTGAGGCATTGATGCGGAATGTGATTCCAATGTTTTCCATGAGCGGAATCTGTTTCGACTTCATGAAAAAAGTTACTGTTCATTCTAGTGATACGAGTGAACTTGTGTCAGGAGGACACAGAACCATCAGCACAGCTATG